AAAATCGCTCTATACGACTTCATTTCTCATCGATGGTTCAGTACATTTAACGGTTGTTACCTAGCAGTTCCTTAACGACTCCTCAAAGCAAACAGTTAGCATTACTGCACACTAACATACATATCAGATGATTAAGCTATCAGACTCCAATCCATAATTCTCCACTCTTTCAAACCAAATTTGTTGAAATGGTCCCAGACTCATGCACAAACTTCCAATCTCGTTATCCTGTTTTTCATAACTGTAGTTTAAGAGCCAGATGTGGCTGAAAATCCTTCAAATGGAATATTGCTGTAGAGCGAATTTATCATCTGATTAGAGTTGGTTCAGGAGGATGAGCCAAACGTGCCTTTTTTATTTTGTAATTAGTATCGAGTTCTGTTTTTCTTTTACAGAAATTTCCTAGAATACTCCATAAACTTTTTTTTTGAAAATTTTACAATAACTTTGTTATATCATTATTCCTTTACCGTAATCCTTCTTTCAACCCAATTCAAAATTAGTTGCAAGTTCAATTTCTTTTTTTCTTGGTGGAGAACTATATGAACATGTTTGCACATCGTAATAACAGTCGTCAAATGGCAGTAGTTTGTGATAATATTATAGTTGGCAACTCTTTCGAAAAATCCATCAGAAGCTGTAGAATTCTCTTAAGTATCTATTAATTAACCAATATGAATAATTAAATTACTAATAATAATATCAAATAAGTCTTTGAAAAGTGGCTAAAATAGGGTTGTAGCCTTTACGACCTCGTCGATATCAAATGAGCGCTTGCGTCAGATTTGCCCCTTTGTATGAAATATCGGACCATCACTGAAAATTGATGTTTAGTATGTCGGTAGTAGAAAATCCGGCTCCACCACCGAAGAGACGAGGACGACCTCCTAAGAAAGATCGAAAACTTGCTGCACATTCGGGAGAAACATCGCTGTATGTGTATAAGTTGTAAAGTTTGTAATTTATAGAAGTAGTTAGAAGAAAGTGTAGTTTTTTTTTCTATTTGTATAAGTACATGTCATCTTTTTAGGAAAGAGGTTAATGTTAGTGCTGATGGAGCTCGTCCACACAACAAGCGTGGCAGAAAGTCAAAAGCTGAACTTGCTGCAATGGCGAGCAGCAAAGAATCTCAATCTCCCAATGACGAAGAGAGCACATCTATGTCATCCCCATCATCGGAGAAACGACGTCGTCCATCAGCTTACTCGTACGCAGAATATTCGGAGTATGAAATACTTCTTTAGTCAACTGTTATTCATAACCAATGTCTTCGTCAGTTAGGTTTAATTGTATTGCATGTTGTAAATATTGAATCTTTTAGTGCTTCTGATGGTAGCGACGATAAAATGCCCGCCGTAAAATCCCCTGAAATGTCACCAAAAACGCCTTCAACATTTCCTAGGTATGTGTGCTGTTTTTTTTTTTTCTGACGCCTCTACTCTCGTTACAGCTAAAGGGGTCTCTTGCAAGTCCATTCCGATACATTATTAATTTTCAATATAACAAGCATTTTTAGAAAAGTGCTCAATTTTTTGAGCTCTTAGCATATTTGTGGATCTGATACTCTTCTTGTTTCCAAATCTCTGTTCCAACTGTACTGTTTTCAGTGGGAAGCGCCGTGGAAGACCACCAAAGTCTCAAAAGAATGTGTAAGTTTTTTAATCGCTTTTTTTTTGTTTTGCAAAAAAAAACGTCTTACAAGTAAGTACTTCCTGCTCAAATCTTATCGTTGTTTTGATCCTTCAAAATTGTTACTTTTTCGACTAACCAAAAGTGTACAAATTTGTTTAGCAATCCCAAAAAAAGAGGAAGGCCACCAAAAAGTCACACAGCGTCTGCGTAAGTCTTTTAAAGTAATTTTTAGATATGGTTAGCTACTAGTGTTGAGAGCCGCTATATGTGATTAGACTTCGAGTAAAGAATACTCCCTTCTCCCTTTCCTCAGATATTTTGAAGAACTAATCTTTTGCTTTTTGAAAAAGAATTTGGATAGCTTGAGGTACTCGAAATTAGGTGCAAAATTAGCGGACAATTAATTCCGTCAAAATAAAATGTTTTAGCCAGAAAACTGACAAGGAAGAGAAGATGGATAATGGAATTGAGAAAGAGAGTGCCTCTCCCTTAGAAAGCTCACGGAGAG